TTCATCATTTATAAAGCAGCATGATTTATTTTTGATGTGCTCCTGAGATGTTAATTTTGGTTTATTGTCCAATAACAACAACTAAGATGTTTGTGAAGGCAAAATCAATTTCATTATTAGCTCCTTATTTCAGAAAAACATCAATGTAAGTCACGTTTATAGGATATGATATATTATATGGAGCATACACATTTGAGACATGTGTATGTGGTCAGAAACTAGACATACATGAATAACAGACATGTACATTTTATATGAATATGAGTATTATTACTCATGCCCCCGCGACCCGTCCCAGGATAAAGCGGATGAAGATGGATTGATGGATGAGTATTATTATTGTTAAGAGGCAAATTCAAGTTGGTTGGATTCCAACATGGATTTAATATTCTTTATATGAAAATATTTATTAATAAAAGCAATTAAAATTATTTAAATCCTGGACTTTATGTACTAATAACAGAAAAATCTCTTACATCAAAACGTTTGTAAATTAACACATACGTTACAAATCTTTAAAATTCCCTGTAATTCTCATGAATATTCTGCATTACTGTGGAAACAAATTACTGAATAAATCGGTTGTGTTCAAAATGTGTTATTTCATATTACTACAGTATATATTACAGTTTTGATAAATGCAAAAGCAAACGCAAAGTAAACCTTCGTGTATTATGTAACACACTCCTTATAGTAGCCTATTTAATTTAAAATGTATTTTTGATATATAAGGTTTTTGTGGTGTATATGAGAAAAATATAGGCTGTCAGTTAAATAAATTATAAAATAAAATTTAAAAATGTATTTAATTTATTATGTCTTTCTCGGGTTGACTCTATGAACGGGATATGTTTCAAAAAATAAAACAAAACAAAATATTTACAGTGTTTACACGTGTGAAGCTCGTGAGGAAGCAGCCAATCGGCTCTATGAGTTTACGGCAACTGGCCGATCGAACATTACGTCAGCGTAACGAACACAAATGAAAGCGCTTGTGTAACCATACTCGACAAACACTGAGGGCGGCGTGGACGGTTTTCACTCACCCTTCTTTAAGACTCCACCCACCGACACAGTCCTAACACTTAAAACCAGCGCACCGAAGAAATTTAAACTCGTTTCATCGATAGCCAATCAGCACCTCTGTAGTACTCTCTCGCCGTGGAGCCGTCCAATCAGTGACGCGTTGCTCTTTGTTGTTGGCGATGACATGAAAACATTGTTGTTGCTGCTGCGGAGACTCACGGACAGACGAGCAGGAAGGACGGAAGGTTCGCGGGGCTTCCTTCAGGTCCGGGTTTAGTTATTATCATTTTTTTATTTTTTAGAAAAAAAGGTGGCAGTTTTTGTCTGTAAAGGAGCCGCGGGAGCAGCCATGTCGGTGAATATGGAAGAACTGAGGCACCAAGTGATGATAAACCAGTTTGTTTTGACGGCTGGCTGCGCCGCGGATCAGGCGAAGCAGCTCCTCCAGGCGGCCCACTGGCAGTTCGAGGTGAGTGTGAGGTTTATTCACACGTTGAGTCCTTTTATTAACCCCCACGCGTGGTTTTGGTGTACAAAGAGGTGCCCGTGAACTCGTTGTGGTGATTGTTTTGAGGATTTCCCGTGCTGCCTCGCTGCCATGCGCTCCCGGGGCTAGCGTTAGCCGCCTAGCCGCGCTGAGGACGTGGTGTTCGGCTCGATGCTTTTTGTTTACATTCTCCGTCGCCTCGCCGTTAAGCTAGCTGCTGTTAGCCGGGCAGAGCGGTAGGGCGCTCGGGTTGGACCAGGGCTGTGTAAGGTTGGAGGAGAGCGTTGTTTATTTTGGCGTGGAGATGCTGATAAGATAAGATGCGCTGTTTTTCATCCGCTCGCATTACTCACAGATCATAAACTACAGGTCAGGCTTGTTTACCGTCAGAGCTCGCAGGGTGATCTAATCAGCCCCTCCCTGCCCAGCTCAAAAACAATCGTTTCATCACGTTTCCTGTGTGAGTTTCTGGAAGCACAGCGAGCGGCTCTCTGCGTGTTTGTGTCCGCTTCACGGAGCGGATAAAGAGGTCAGACCGTGCGTGCTCCCCGCTAAGCGCCCTGACATTGATCCCGGTGCTTCTCGGTTATATATAGACCGATTAAGATGCATTATCCTTCCAGCTGTTCCCGTACACGGACCTCCGTGTGCCATTAACACCTATAAGAAGTTGAAGCTGGCTGGTGGAGGTCAGTTTGAGCTGCTTCTTCGCAGTTTTCCCAACTATGACTCAAAGCCGAGAAGTCCTCCTCTAACAGGGCGAGGCAGGCCAGCAGACAACAGAGGACGAGCCTTTAGCTGCTCGTTGTGTTTAGTGGGAGTCATAAAATGCGTGGTTGAGCTGCTGGTTCCCCTCTCATGAAGAAAGTGGGTCCCATGATATTAATCTGACACGCATGCCGGGGACATGACTGTTTACTGGGCCTGCGATGGTCAGGCTAATATTTCAATAAAGCGTAAAAAGTCATTACAGAGGCTCTGTGCTCACTGGGAAATGAAAAGTAGCCACTATTGATCAGATTTTGTTGAACAACAAACTTTGAAATTTGAAACTTGGAAATTTCTATGAAGTGACGGTCAGGCTCCCTCTGCTCCTCACTGGTTTCCTCTTTCATTGCTAAACAGGCCTGAGCTTGTTTCTTCATGTGCTGCAGCACAGAGCGCTGTGTTTTCGCCAGTTCATGAAGAAAACACACGCATACTCGTGTTTGCAGTGACGTGGTTTGAAATCCTCCTCAGCCTCTCTCTAACCACCGATCACAGATTGTGGATCGGATTAAGACTTGGGGATTTTCCTTTTCATGGATCCAAAATGTTAATTTAATGATCTCAGAGACTGGATCGCTGGAAGAAGTCTGACATTTTTATTTTGGCCCATCTTTAAAAAGCAGAAATGCACAAACTGCTGAGCCCGATAAGGCAGGGTTGGCAGTCTATCAGCCATTCCTGAAAAGTTGTTTCACTACGGTTCTGTGCTGCCTCACCTCACAGCAATTTGTGAACGTTATTCTTATTCAATGAAATAAATAAAGGATAAAAAAAGATTTAGGTGTAGCCAGGTCCTGTTTACAAGTTCTGCCCCATCTGTCTGCGTTTGCGTGGATGATTTCTCCTTGACCACCTTCCAGAACATCTGACATTTCATCAAACGCACCCATCTGCAGCGTTGACCTGCTGAACAGCTAACGGTCACCCGAGCTTCCACACCTCTGTCTGTTGCAGCCAGGTGCTGCACCGGGAGGGGAGGAGGCAGTGGCGATGTTTGGAGTACTGTCAGGAGTTGGGGTGACGACTCTGATTGGCTGACTTGTTTATTTGGAAAAACACGCTGTGCGCTGCTACTTTGTGTGTGTGACTGGAAACTGTGATTAAGGAGTGTTGTTGTGTCTCCGGGGTGAGTCACTAACCTTCACGTTACCTGGACAACATAATACAGCTGAATCCTGGAAGACAACACTGAGGGAGAAGCACGGGTTAGAGGCGCAACCTTGGTGTGAAGGACGTGGGCATTCTTCGCGTCTGAGACGCCGGACTTGCAGTCAGACCTCAGTCCCACGCTAACATGTCCCCACAGCACGGCTGTTATTTTGTTTTGGTGTTTGCTGAATGAAGAGAATCGAGCTGCAGTTCCTCTAACGTCCACCGGAGGCTCCAGCAGTTAGTCAGTCCCCATAGACTCCCACGTTAAAACATTCCAGCAGAAATCAGCAGGTTTACATCCTGATACACAAACTCGTTCAGTCTCCGTGGATAATTTCCTCCTTTAGAACAATCGTCCAGGTGTTTACGTTCACGCTGGATGTCCTGCTGACTCACAGTTCAAAAATAATCTGTATTTATCTCGCCTGTGTCACTTGCCTCTCACTGACATCATACAGACCCAAGAGTAGAAGTTTCAAAGTTTACATTCATGAGGAAAGATTGAACGATGTTAAGGAACCGCGTGACCACAGACTGTCTGTCAGCTGGCTGTGAAGAGACGCATGGACCTTAAATAATCCTGAGATTTAACCTGTGGACGAGTAACTGCAGTAACGAAGTTGGTGGAAGAAGTTTGTTTGAGGCTTTTAAAAACATTTACAGTTGGTTAAAAACAGACCCGAGCGCTGAGTGACGTTGGCAGGTCCAGATGAGTGTTTTGTGTTGATTATCATGTTGATGTTGATGATGATGATGATGATGATGTGTTTGTACAGTGGTGACTCGTTCTGAGCGAACACAGTCACACGTGAGGAGCCTGAAGCAGGAAATGTATTCATGCTGTTTTTGTAAAATTACTACAACGACAGTGAAAATAGCTGCTGATTAACTTCCTGTCGAACCGCCCGGTTTGCCCCTGTGCTGAAAGAGGAAGTTTCTTTTTGTGTTGGAGCTTCTGTTTTTTTGTTGTCCTCGGTCATGAGGCGCTAGAGTGAAAGTAAAAGCCGTCACGCCGCCG